TGTAACAAATGTGCGGAGACACTGTGTTTAGCATACCCCCTCTGTATATTGCCCAAGTGTTCCAGCATGCGGGTTTTTAATGTTCTCGTGGTCATTCCCACATACTGGAGTCCACAAGGGCACCAGAGGAGGTATATCACATTACTAGAGTGGCAGGTGAGGATAGAATTGATCTTATATTCCTTTTTGGATACATTAGAAATACATTTAGTGTGTGTGTCTTTCTTAGATTTTGTTCTTTTGCAAACTGTGCACATTTTACATGGATAGAAGCCATATTTTTGGTTAAAAACATTGATATTAGCAGTCTGAGTTTTTATATGGTTTTTAACCAATAGAGTTTGGAGATTTTTTGTGCCTCTATATACAATTTTCGGTTTTTCACTAATGATGTTATTAAGGCCTTCATCGGTTTTTAGGATGTGCCAGTGTTTCTGAACAATAGATTTTATATGTTTAGCATCACCACTATAGTCCAAAATTAAAAGGGGTTCCTCTGTTTGTTTAGTTGCTTGTCTATCTTTATATTCTAATTGGGACTCTCTATTTAGTTGTTTAGTTTCCTGGATTTGGTGATCTAAAGTGGTTGGGTCATATTTCTTTTCGACAAAAAAGTTTTTTAATCGTCCCGCCTGTTCCTCGTATTCCTTAATGTCACTGCAATTTTTGAAAATGCGGTTGAATTGACTTTTGGGTACATTGCGCAACCACGGATCATAATGACAACTCGTGGTGTCAATGTACCCATTGACATCCAACGGTTTAAAATAGGTTCTGGTGAGGATATGGTTGTTGGAGATATAAATCTCTAGATCTAAAAACTGAACTGACGTTTGGCTAATTTGGCTAGTCAAAACAATATTTCTGCAATTGTCATTAAGACCCTCCAAGAAGAGATCCAAAGAAGTTCTGGACCCCTTCCATGTAAAGAAAATATCGTCGATATATCTGCGATAGAGGACCAGGCCCGCCCCCATGTCGTCCCGAACTGGGAGGAAGGTACCCTCCCAGTGAGACATAAACAGATTAGCATAGCTGGGAGCGAATCTGGTCCCCATCGCACTACTGACTAACTGTAAAAAAAAGGAACCATCGAACCAAAAGAAATTGTTGGTTTTAAATGGATTAAATGGATACTGTCTATAATGAAGTTAATCTGGTTCTCAACAAACTTGTTACTGTGTGTCAAAAAATGTTTAATAGCTTCACAGCCCAGCTCATGTGAGATGATAGTGTACAAACTGGTCACATCACATGTGACCAGATAAAAATCTTCTTCCCATTGAATGTTCTGTAGGGTCTTTAATAACTGTGTGGAGTCCCAAAGGTAGGTTGGTTGAGATGTCACCAAAGGTTGGAGTTGTCTATCTATGTATTCAGATAGCCTACTCAAAAGGGATCCTACCCCAGATACTATGGGCCTTCCGGGAGGCTTCTTTGTATCCTAATGAATTTTTGGGAGAATGTAAAGAACTGGTATGCGACATACCGATATATTTAAATATTTATATTCATGTTTGTTAAGAATCCCATCTTCCATACCTTTACTTAGTAGTGAGGTGTATTTCTTTCTTATTTCTGGGGTAGGGTCAGCTCTAAGTTTAACATAGGTGGAGGCATCGTTGAGCTGTCTGTATACCTCTTCCATATAGTCCGCAACATTCAGCACAACGATGCCTCCAACCTTATCTGCTGGCTTAATAATAATATTGTGATCTTGTTGAAGATCTCTCAGGGCTTTAGTTTGAGAATGATTTAGATTACTTTTTTTCTTTTTAGATATCTGTCTCACATCATTAGTTACTAGTTTCTCAAAAACTTTCATTTCACCACTAATATGATTTTTTGGAAAAAAATGAGATTTATCTTTTAAGTTTGCATGTATGAAGTTGTCATTATTAGTTTCCCTTAATACATTGGTAGGGAATTTCTTAAAATGTTTCTTTAGACAAAGTTTTCGAATAAATTTATAAATGTCTATAAAGGTGTTGAAGGGTTTATTAGTACTAGTCGGTGCGAATTTTAAGCCCTTATTAAGGACTTCTAATTCTTTATTTGTTAGTATATTGTTTGAAAGATTAAAAATACCTAATGATGGTTTTTCCCTCTTTTTTTCAAAGTCCAAAATTCTTCCTGCTCTACGTCCCCTTCTTCCTGACCCCACGGTCTTTTGGACCTTTGTGGGCGGGGGGGCTGGTCCTGTACTAAAAAAGGATGAGATGACTGTTGGGAAGTTCCGGCATAGGATTTGGCTTTTCTTTTAGTGGTATAATTTGTATTCTCACTTATTGTATCATTCGTTAAGGGTCTATATCTACTTCCATAATTAGTGTGTTGAGTGTGTTGCTGATTTCGCTTAAAAAGCTGTGTTCTATTTGCACCACTAGTTTTAGGTGAATCCCTAAAGACTGGTTTATTAAACTCCTTACGGTAAGATTTTTGGTATGAGTTTTGATTATCTCCATTATGGTTCCTAATATATCCACTAGGTTTTACTCCAGGATTTAAATTCCTGGGGTGATTTCTTTTATGCCTAGCAAATGAACGAACTCTATTATAAGCATAATCATGCTTATCCCTAATGTATTTACTTTTCTTAATAGAGACAACCTCTTCTTCCTGTTTGTCTATATTTTCTTGAATTTTTTTGAGGGAGGTATTAACCTCTTCAGTGCCTAACATTGGTTGGAGTTTCACTTTAATCTCATTCATTTCCCTATCTAATTTAATAAGTTTTACGTTTCCTTTGTTGGACGATGATGGACATCATACGAGCGGAGAAGGATTCCAATGCTGAATTCCAAATCTCCATGAATCCATCATCGTCCTGATCAAAGGTAGGTTTCTTAAAGAACCTTAAACCCCTTGGGGTAATATTCTCTGTTAGATATTTTTCCATGGTGAAAATTTCCCATTTGATCTTTGTTTCCTTAATCAATAATTTTTGTAATGAATCACAAGTGTAATCAAAATCATATTCACGAAACTTAATGGGTTCTGATTCACAATTAAATTTCCTGGCCAATTTATCCTGCCAATTATTTCTTTTTTCAAATAATTCCATCTTTAAATGGACTGGAGCAGCCTACACTTGTTGGGGAATAGTAGATAGATACAAAAAGGAAGGAAAGTGAATGGCGCTTACACAGTAAAACAGGAGCACAGTTGGGCAATATACAGAGGGGGTATGCTAAACACAGTGTCTCCGCACATTTCTTACAATGTCACAACAGTGATCCTTCACATGTCAATTTTATTGCCATTGCCCAAAAGAAAAAGGAATGGAGGGGTGAAGATAATTTCAAAGAACTCTGCAAAATTGAAAGTAGGTGGATATTCGAATTAAACACTTTATCCCCTAAGGGCTTGAATTTAGATTTTGAATTGGCTCACTTTTTATAATTAATTTTTTTTTTTTCTCACCCACCAATCCTATTCTATATGGGCTACATTTACATAACCTAGATGTGATGTATACCTTTAAGATACCACATACTATGTGCCCATATGTTGTTGTTTTTTATTAATACATATATATTCTTCTTTTTTTCCGTTTGGTATGCAGCATTGCACTATTGTTGCTATTTGCACAAATAGTTATGTCTCTTTTCAGGTTATAAATGACTACCTATATGTACACATTTTATAAGATATGAAAGGTGCCCATTTTTAATATGGAGCTTTTTGCTTCATTTGGGCAAATGTACTAACAAATCTATCTGAAACTGACATAAGGTATTATGTGTTTATAATGTTGTTTACCAACTAATTTTCTCTTTTATACATATCATTGTATGATTACCGCTATTTGTATAGACAATTATGTCACTTTTCTTAGTATAAATCATTGTTCCTGTATGCACTCTAATAATCATACAAAATGCCCATTCACTACATGGAGTTTTCAGCTTCAACTGGGCAAATGCATTGAATACAACCAAGCAGGAAAATGAGTGCCGAAATACCGGAAGTGACGTCAGACGCCGGCCACCCGAACTTCCGCTCACGTGACCGGCAATTAGAATAAGCGGTGATTTTAAAACGGAACAGCAGCTGGATGTTTTATGCACTGATGAAAACTCGGACTGAGTTGAAACGCGTCTGCATGACTGTGATTCTGTGTGTCACCATATGGGACCTGCACAGTTACTATTTTAATAATTAATTTTTACTTACAATAAATTTATTATTTTTTATTCATCTTTCTGCTGCTGTTTTTTCCTACTTCTGGGGGATACTATTCAAGATTCTCCACAGAGCCTTCTAGGGCACCCTTGGGCATTATATACAGAGCCTGGCACGGCTCTGAAATTCGTGAGTGTATTCAATCACTTCCATATTTCCTTCTTTTGTATATACAGACTATACTATGTACTATTTTTTTTTATCTTTATAGGTTTTTACATGGACCATCTCCTATATGTACCTGTACATGTATAAGTATTATTATTGCCTGTTTTGATACACAGGGAGTGGTGTGTGTATTTGGCACCTGTTGCTTTTAGTACCCTTTTCTATTACTTGATTTTAGGGTGTTGGGGAACACCCCTTCCACTCCAACTGTGCTCCTGTTTTACTGTGTAAGCGCCATTCACTTTCCTTCCTTTTTGTATCTATGTATAACTATGTTTATAATTCGGCTTGCTCGTGCTGTTGTGACACTGCAAGCTTGTCTATTATAATGTGCACAACAAAAACAAAAAATATATATTAAAAATTTTTTTTTTAAAAAACAACAACTTATATCGGACCTTAGAATGGCTGGACTTAACGTAAAAGAGAATGGTCAAAGAACAAGCCAAGGTCGGGGATACAGAATGAGACCAATACGAATAACTAGCAAAGGGTCAGGATACCAGAAGTAGGAAAAGTCAATAACAAAAGTCAATAACCAGAAAAATCTGGTAACAAAGTAAAAGTTGAAGTTGGGGAAAAGAAGAGTATAAGAAATATTGTGGTGCTACTATCACCTAGTGTGAATCCCTCTAACACACAAAAGTTAATACAGTGCAAATGAAAATAGTGGTGAGAGCACTCAATGCAAGCAAAATAGAACGTTTACCACTACTGTCTTGAGCATGTATCTAGAATAACAAGACATAAAGAGAACCATAGGGTAATATTGTCATAAATATATACAATGACCATATGTGACTGGTTAAACTCACATGCTTCTGAGTCACTTTAAAAAGCTGACTCAGACTATGAACTTGTAATGGAGATGAAACCTTTTAAGCAGGACGTCCTGTATTGGTATAGATGAATCCTCCCTGGATGTAGTCTGTGTAATTAATCCAGAATGCAGGATCCAATGAAAACTTATTTTATTGATATAAAATAAAAAGATATACTTTAAAACCAAATACAAATAAAATTGTCCATAAGATGTACCACGACGCGTTTCGGCAAAGAAACCTTTCTCAAACGGTGCTGTTTGTTCAACTCAGCTGTTTCTATTTTTATCCTGAAAAGTTTGGCGTCTTTTCCCACAATTTTTGTACCTTCCAACTTCCGTTTTCGTCATCTTCGGTCGTCCAACGTGTTCAGTACGTCATGGCGTCATTTCGGCGCCATGTACCGGAAATGTTGCGGGCGCCATTTTGAAAAGTCCGTTGTGAATATAAATGCCAGTCCTTTATTAAATTATATTATTTTCACATAAAAAAGCATCGGCTATTGTAATAATTGATCACATCTACTAAAAGAGGAAGAATGGAGGGGAATATTGCTAATAAAAAGAAATACATAAGAGATACACTTTACATATAAAAACCTACATTTTCTAAACCAATCAAATAAACTCATTTAAAAAGTGATTTAAAAATACAGTGATAAAAAGTAAATATTTAAATATATGAATTGATCTCAAAGTCTGCATTCAGGCCATATGGGGACAATGTTTCCATATTAAAAATCCATTTCATTTAAATTTTACTGAGGAGGGTCTCTATATCACATCCCCTCCAATGTACTTTAGCTGCTTCTATTCCCACAAATTCTATGAGGTGAATTTCTCAATGCTTTCCTATGGACGTCCAGCGTCTTCTCAATGTGATTTTCACAGTGAGAATCGCGAAAGTGCCTCTAGCGGCTGTCAGTGAGACAGCCACTAGAGGCTGGATTAACCCTCAGTGAAACATTGCAGTTTCCGTGAAACTGCTATGTTTTCAGCTGCAGGGTTAAAACTAGAGGGACCTGGCACCCAGACCACTTCATTGAGCTGAAGTGATCTGGGTGTCTATAGTGTCTATAGTGGAATGTGTATCTGCATGCACTGGCGTACATACCGGGGTCGCATGTGTGGCGGCCCCGGCCCGTGCAGAGTAAGTGCGCGGGTGGTACCCACGGATCAATTTTCACACCGGGGCCCCATGGGTCGTCTGTACGCCACTGATGGGGGCTATAATAGTAGAGAACCCATTATGAACCTATAAAAGTTTATAAAACACTGAATAGCTTTCACTCCACTGGATAGGTATAGTTGTACCAAAGGTCTGTAGGATCCCAAATAAAAAAAAATAAAAAAACACCTCCATTGTTGGCAAAAAATCATCAACATCCGCCTCCAACCTTGGTCATTTGAAGAGGACTAAGTGGTGGCCAAGAAAAGAAAGAACAAGGAGAAGGATACCTCCATTTCTCCTGAACAGAGAATTTAAAGTGCCAGACACTATGATTAGAAGGAGTACATTGTGAGTATCATGACTAGGTATAGTGCCATCCAAAGGGAGAGTTACATTTCCTTGTGTTCGGAAAGGGGTTGGGTCCTTAGTATTGAGGTGCGGCCCATAGACTTTAGATAGACCCAGCTTAGCTATATTACCAAATCAATGTAGGTTTAACCTAAAACTTGAAAAAAAGCAAGACTTCAATAGCTTGTTGAATTAATTTTATATGTTGTCTGGTCACTTGTTCATTATCCCACAAAATTGGTCGTATAGACAAAGTCTATATAGCTGGGCATTACTCTATATTAAGAGCTATTTTTAGAGAGGTGGCACAGGCCCCTCTCCTGTCCTCCCTGTTCTTTCCCCCCCCCCTCTTCTATATTCTCTATCCCTGCTGTAAAAATGACAACAAAGAGAGCCTGTGTAGTCACAACAGCAGTAACCAGCACAGCAATAGCAAGTGGTATTAACCCCTTAAGGACTGGGCCAAATGTACACGTTGTGATCAAAACAAAACGTAAACAAAAACTTGAATTTGCGCTATATGTCTGTTCAGGCGTAATTCGCCTCTTTCATATTATGTGCACCCACACTTATTATACATCGTTTTATTTATTTAACATCAAATATTTAGGTATGAAACATGATTTAATATAAATAAAATATTAAAAAGTGGGAGAAAATAAGAATTAAAAAAACATGTTTAGTTCTACGTGACATTCTAACTGTGAAAAAAAAAAAATACACATATTTGTATTCAGCAATGTTTCACATGTAAAACAGTACCCCCTATGTACAGGTTTTATGGTGTTGTGGGAAGTTACAGGGTCAAATATAGCATGTTACATTTTTCAGTTTTTTCACATTGAAATTCGCCAGATTGGTTACATTGCCTTTGAGACCGTATGGTAGCCCTGGAATAAGAATTATCCCCATGATGGCATACCATTTGCAAAAGTAGACAACCCAAGGTATTGCAAATAGGGTATGTCCAGTTTTTAGTAGTAGCCACTTGGTCACAAACACTGGCCAAAGTTAGTGTTCATATTTGTTTGTGTGTGAAACATGCAAAAAACAAATTTTAACGCCAATTTTGGCCAGTGTTTGCGACTAAGTGTATGTGTATTTATGTGTATGTGTGTATTTATGTGTATATATACACTTAGATCATATATATATTAGATATATATATATATGATCTAAGTGTATATATATGATCTAAGTATATATAATTTAATTTTACACTGTTTTAAACAATTTTTTTTTTCAGGCAGCAGGGGGAGTACCTGTCATTACAGGCACTCCTCATGCTGGCATTGACATGGACAGCTATGCCGTCCATGTGATCACGAGGTCCTTGCCCTGGGCTCCCAGGTAAGTCCCCACACAGCGATCGCCGGCGTGGGATCCCGGCGACCAGGTAAGTACATAGGACGGCGGGGACGTCCTTAAGGGGTTAAATATGGTCATGACATTTGGAGAAACTGCACAATTTTTGAATTAATTACAGATATGCTAAGTACGCCACAGCAGTGATATCAAGCGTAGTATAAACAGGTAATACACCATGGCGTATAAAGCAGCAGCACATTTTTGCATGGTTAGTAACAAAATTTGTTAAAATCAAATAAAATGCGAGTCCTGACTAACTGGATGGCAGCAATTAAGCAGGAAGTGTGAGCTAATTATATGTGGGAATACCAGGTTATATATGATTAGCTAGACATGAAATTCATGACTTAGTACTTGTGCCACTTAAATACCAAATAAAGTCTTTGTTAATAGGTCTTTCATTGAAGTTACATGCTAAACGTTAGATATGCTAAACTGTAAAACCACAGTTTTTCCGTTTGCGTAGGTAACAAAACAGAACAAAAAATTAAGAGAGAAAAAAATAAAAGAAAAAATATTGGAACAAAAACAATACAACTAAGGGGAGGCAACAGTACCGTCCAGTTACAGGCAGACAGTTACATACACAGTTACAGTCACACACACACACAAACACACAGTTACAGGCAGACAGACAGTCACACACACACAGTTACAGGCAGGCAGATAGTCACACACGCACACACACAGTTACAGGCAGGCAGTCTCACACACACACACACACTCTTATTTATAGACAGTGGGCTGGAGGAGGGGTGGATTCCCTGAAGTCCTTCCTTGGAGCCTGTTAGTTGGAAAAGCAGGGATTCCTTCTTGCTGCACCACCATGTGCAGCAGTAACAACAGCGGGTAAGGGCCGTGGTAAGCGCCAACCCTGCTGCAGGTTTGGCACCGCCAAAACTTTTCTTAGCTCCGCCCACACTTTCCTTCAGTGCGGCCAGTTCAGCTGGTAATAGCTGGTCTCAGCAATTGTGAGCTGTGTCGGCCGCCTGGCACCCCAGCTGCCATGGGGCACAGCTCACACATCCCCAAGACCAGGGTCATGGCACCCCCTACCTGGTGGCACCTGGGGTGGACCAGCCCCCCCTCCCCCACCATCCCCTTAGTACGCCACTGGAACTGTGTGCCGGCTCGGTCCCCCCACCCCCAACCTTCCAATTCAACCTTGTATGCTTCTATTTTGAGCTACCTGTGTTCTAATTCGGTTTTTTTATGTTTACTAAAGAGTTTGTGAAATGTTTGCCTTCATCTTATAGGCCAGGGGTAGTCAACCTTTGAATACCTACCACCCACTTTTGTATCTTTGTTGATGGTAAAATTTCCTTACCACCCACCAGTACCGCAGTAACTAATTTTATAGCGCAAGTCAAATGTTTGTTTATTGCCCCCTCCCCCTTTTTTCTATTCTATGTGTGTCTGTGAGGTGGGGCAGTGTGCGCATGAGGGTGGGCAGTGTGTGAGTGTGAGGGAGGCAGTGTGTGTTTGTGTGTGAGGGGTGCATAGGTTCTATGCTATGTGTATGTGGTTGAGAAGTGAAAATCTATCTTAAAGTCTCCCCCTCTCTTCTTACCTTTTACTAGGGAGGGGGAACATAATGCTGCAAGTCCTGGTGGTCCAGTGGTGGCATGTTCACTTAAGCCAGCAGCTCCTCTGGCTGCAGGCTGACTCTCGTGTCCACCTGCAAGCACAGCACTGCATCATGGCAACGCTCTAACCAGTCTGTTCGCAGGAAGAACACAGAGCTTCCAGAAACAAAGTGCCAGTGGCCTGGTGAGGGAGATCTTTAATTTCCTCACTAGCCGGAGAGAGCTTACAGCAAGGCTGGCTCTGCATGGGCCGGTAGGGGAAATGAAAGGAGCTCCCTTGCCAGCCTTGGTCCACGGCCATCTAGGCTCACTGGGTGTTTTCTGCAGAAACCACCACCGACCACCTGAAATCCCAAACCACCCACTAGTGGGTGGTACGGACCAGGTTGACTACTCCTGCTATAGACTGTAAGCTCGTTTGAGCAGGGTCCTCTTCAACCTATCGTTCCTGTAAGTTTTCTTGTAATTGTCCAATTTATAGTTAAATCCCCCCTCTCATAATATTGTAAAGTACTACGGAATCTGTTGGTGCTATATAAATGGCAATAATAATAATAATAATAAGTGATATATATTGGTGCTTTGTTAAAAA